GATCTAGCACTAAATCCAGAATAGATTGCACGAACGATGCGCGAAGCTTTGGAATATTTTCACTTCAATACTGTACTACTCTCTGAAAACGATAATTTTTCAATTCGATCCTTTTTTGAATGTACCTTGAGAATTCGATATCTCGGCAATAAAGGCGCAAGGGCACAAATCCTCATGGGGTTTTTCATACCTCATTGAGGTCTACTTGTCGCCAAAAGATGGAACCTAAAGGCCTTAAACACCTGGGGAACCTCCCCCGTCAGTAAAAGCCTTTATAAAACAATTGTATAGAGAACAGAAACAACATTTCATAAAACGATATGTCACTATGAATGTCTTATTAAACATCAAAAGCCATCTCGTATTACCTGATGTTATATAGTTGAGAAAGCATCATGTCAATCAAATTAAAAACTGCGATCGTTTCGTAAATGTCGCGGTTTCGAACATCGCTACAAACCACTAAAACAGAAACAGCGATTTTTGAAAAAACATTTTCTCGTGGGCATTTCCAATAATCATTAGAAATGATTCAGATATGAATGATTTTGATCCGTAATCTTCAACAGAATTGATTGAAGTAGATTTTTTCGTAGAAAAATCATTTATAACCGATTACTTAATGAAAAAGAATCAATATTTGCTGGTTTTAATCGATTTTTATACAAAGTAACCGATTTTAATGGTCAAAAGTGGTACTTTTTTTTACATGGGACGTGATTTATTATTCTTTAATCATCAAAATCAACTAATTCATGATGATAATATTCACATAAGAATTCAATCAGAAAAAGACAAATCTTTCGCACATCGTATGAAAAGTTTCTATATTTTATTTTATGGTTGTATTTTTCATCATTATCTCAAATGATCGAAACATTCGATAATGATTCAATTATTGATGATTGTTTTATTATTTGAAAAAGATCTTTCAATCACCAATCAACACATGTTGATCTTCTTCAATGAGCAAAAATTCTGTTCACAAATATCGAGTTACTTTTTCGTTTAGTAAAGCAATTTTTCAAATGTTAAATCTTGTTGAAAATATCTCCAAGCACAACGCTATCAATGAGTTGTTCAAATGCGAAACGATGATTATTTTATTGAAATCAGTTTTTCATAGTAAATAAAAATATTCTCGTCATTTATTTCCTTCGAAATTCATTCAAAGGATAGAAAAAGTAAATCGATTATTATGTTTATGTTTATAAATGTGATCAGTTCGGTTGTGTTTCACATTTGAACTCTCGTTAATAATTATTTGGAATGTTTTCTCTAATCGACGTGATGAGATGAGAGGCTGAGAATGAGACCATTCATGTAAATATATTAACAATCAAATAAATCTTCGCCGACAGATAAATTACATCATTGTTCGATGATTGTTACTTGATCTGACATCACACTCATATTTGAGTAGATTTCGCGAGAAAGATATCGCTCCCGAGTGGATTTGAACCACCTGTCCTCCGACTAACAATCGGCTGCGTTTACCACTTACGCCACAGGAGCACATCAATTGATATGAACTCAAGAATGTGTTTCTTGTCTTAGAATCTATTGTTGTTGACTAGATGTATATCGTAGAAAATGGAGTATGTCGAAAAGTGGCACCTTCGTTGGAATGAATTGAAACTTTCCACATTTTCAAAACAAAATCTATTAACATGCTGCTACGGTGCACTTTTGTGCATCGCACTATCAACATTAACATACTAAATATGTTAAATTGGGACGTAAGCTCTGAGCGTTTTGTTTTTCTTTTTTAAATGCAACTTTATTTTAAAGCAAATATATGAAACATCTATATCTATGTGGAACGTCTCACATGTCGTAGAGCTACAGCAGATAGAAAAATGAATATACTTCAAATCTCTACAACTGCGATCCGTATCTTTCCCGTCGTCCTGCATCGTACAAAGCCACAATTTCCACTATATTTCTATAGGTTAATGTGAAAATGTTGAAATCGTGATTGATGGTCGAAATGATTCGAGATCATTTAAGAGTTGCAAACATTGTTGATGTGCAATATTTTCTGTTTCTAATGGTATTTCTTTGCCATTAAAAGTAACATCCAAAGAGAATTTTATAGATTTAAGTTTTGGTAACCATTTTGGATCTTCAATACATTTTTGCCAAACAGATAAATGATTTGTTAATGAGGGTGGCCCTCTAAATCGTAGAATTTCGATATTAGATGGAAAAAAATAAGGTAAATCAATTAAATAATTTTCTCTGGGAGAATCGTCTGATAAATCATGTAATGTAAGATCAAGAGATTTAAGTGAATTACATTGAATTAATGTTTTACCAAAACATTCTCTTTCATATTGATGAGAAAAATCACAACCATTTGTACTTTGAATTTTTAATTGAGAAAGATTATTAATTAAACAAGTTTCTTCTTTCATTTTAATGAAATGATCACACGCATCATTTTCAATAATTATTAATTCATTGAGTTGACTTGGACCTTCAAGAGAAATTGAATTGAAACTTAAACCACAACAATAAAGAAGTGTTAAAGATTTTATAGTACGAAGATGATTTGTATTGATATCTTCTCCACATACATCTCCGAGTAAAAGAGATTCTAATGGCCAAAATCGACCTATTTCATCAAGTGGTGCAATAGTACAAACTTCATCAAAACCACTGATCATTTCAAGATGAGAAATATGTTTGAAATCTTGAACACTTTCCCATATTGCTAACGATGGTGTATCACCATAAAATTTAATCATACCCATATGAANTTGATATTTCTCTGTAGCGTAATACTGTATGTACTGAGAACTATGAAAGGACGAGGAACATACAGTAGAGATTCGATTTGTTTCGATTCAATACAGGATACACTTATCACATATTATCTCTTATGTTATATGTCATCACAGGCATCTTCAAACTTGGATCTAGCATCGCGACCAAAAATGTTTTTTGGTCCCAACCGCAAAGGGCTGCACTATTTCGTTGATTCGAATATAAGATAATCTATTAAATGTGCATTTTGTAGAGAATCTTTTTCTCTATCGAACTGTGTAGGTTAGATTATAATAGAACACTTTCTTTTCGACTAATGCAGCAACATGATCGGGCGAATTTCGCTTCTGCACAGCTCGCTCAAAACTAACCCTTTGGTTTCTTTTTGACACTGGTCTAAAAGAAAGTTTTATGGTATCGTTGAAAGCATAAAGCTTGGGAGGAGAAACTGCTCTCTATAAAATACACATTTAACAGATTATCTCACATTCTAAACAATAGAATGGTGCAGAAATCTTCGGTCGCGCTGCCGCACCATACCTTATACGTGTTCTCCCTTTCCTAATAAAATGAAGAGTTAAGTGAAGAAAGATGAGTGTTCATTTAAATTTCAAATCCAAAGGTGTCAAAATGTTTCTACATATGAACTAGAAAGCGTCACCGGGAGCAGCTCCGCACGCTTCCTATTTTTCAGGCTGACTATCCAACTTATTTAAACAATGCCTGCTTCAACACTTTCCAACAAAATTATCAATCACTAGAGACGTTGTCATATCGAAATCTCGTTCATTTAGTCCACGATCACTACCTTTCTTCTCTGCATTATTATACTTGAATGTGAGACACATCCTCTTCTGGTGTTCAATTTGTGATTCGGTACGTTAGCAAAAACGAATCCTAACAATAATTTATACAAGATTCTTCGCTGTCCCTTTTCTATAGTCACACCAACAGAAGCAAAAAAATCAGAATTGTATTTTGGACTTGTGTTTCGAAGGAAATTCTGCTACTATCACAAATACAAATTACATTACATTCTGAGAACGAATCTTTCAGTTTCGATGTGTGATACATCTCCTTGCACATTTGTAGTTATGAAAAACTTTTACCTAATCTTTGTTCCACTCATAATGAAATTCTCTTATGGGCCGTTGACCTCATGGCTCAACGTACGTTTAACATCGACCCTATCTCACATGTCCTCACCCTGTCAACCAACTTTCAGTGTCAAAACACCCTCCCAAACCACGTTTTATGAAGTTCTGAGCGTTTTTGAAAAAAATGTTTTTTTTTACCCTTGACCTTTGAACTGCGACAGACACACACACACACACAAACGAATTTCCGTTTTTTGACCACTTTTTTTTCGACATGACCCTCCTTTCAGTCGAGGGAACAATCAAATAAATCTTCGCCAACAGATAAATTACATCATTGTTACTTAATCGGACGTCATACTCATATTTGAATACATTTCGCAAGAAAAATATCGCTCCCGAGTGGATTTGAACCACCTGTCCTCCCACTAACAATCGGCTGCGTTTACCACTTACGCCACAGGAGCATATCAATTGATATTAAGATACTAAATATGTTAAATTCGGACGTAAGTTCTGAACTTTTTGTTTTTCTTTTTTGAATGCAACTTTATTTTAAAGCAAATATATGAAACATCTATATCTATGTGGAACGTCTCACATGTTGAAGAGCCACAACAGATAGAAAAATCAATACACTTCAAATCTCTACACCTGCGATTCATATCTTTCCCGTCGTCGTGCATCGTACAAAACCGCAATTTCGACTATCTCTCTATAGGCAAACGAGTTTCCTCAAGCTGATTTCTGCATCCCAGATGATTAACATTGTCTCTGCCATTGGAGACTAATTCTCCACGTCAGTCGTTCACACGTTGGTCTCATCTGCACCCAATTCTCAATTTTATTTCATTGAAATATTAACAAATATCTACAGTTTTTCTTCTATAGGTTAATGCGAAAAAGTTGTAATCGTGATTGATGGTCGAAATGATTTGAGATCATTTAAGAGTTGCAGACACTGTTGATGTGCAACATTTTCTGTTTCTAATGGTATTTCTTTGCCATTAAAAGTAACACCCAAAGAGAATTTTATAGATTTAAGTTTTGGTAACCATTTTGGATCTGCGATACATTTTTGCCAAACAGATAAATGATTTGTTAATGAGGGTCGTCCTCTAAATCGTAGAATCTCGATGTTAGATGGAAAAAAAATGAGGTAACTCAATTAAATAATTTTCTCTAGGAGAATCGTCTGATAAATCATGTAATGTAAGATCAAGAGATTTAAGTGAATTACATTGAATTAATGATTTACCAAAACATTCTCTTACATATTGATGAGAAAAATCACAACCATTTGTACTTTGAATTTTTAATTGAGAAAGATGATTAATTCATTGAGTTGACTTGGACCATCGAGAGAAATTGAATGGAAACTTAAACCACAACAATAAAGAACTGTTAAAGACTTTATAGTACGAAACTGATTTGTATTGATATCTTCTCCGCATACATCTCCGAGTACAAGAGATTTCATCAAGTGGCGCAATATTACAAACTTCATCAAAACCACTGATCATTTCAAGATGAGAAATGTGTTTGAAATCTTGAACACTTTCCCATATTGCTAACGATGGTGTATCACCATGAAATTTAATCATATCAATATGATCATTGGAAATACGACGTAAATGATTTCGAAATGAGGAAAGATTCGTGTTGGGAACTGGTTTAAGATCAATAAGAAGTGCATGATGAAGATGAGAGGGATATTCAGTGTTCTCTACAATTGTAGTAATTGGATCAGATATCAAAGATATACTTGTAATAGTTAACATTTTCGTTATCCCAAACAATTCGATACTAAACCGTGATGAAGAGATTCTTCAATTTCAGAAAAAATGAAAAAGTGCAATTCCACTAGGCACTTATTTTCTATCAGACTTTCGTGCATCGGGTTTGATATAAGGATGACGAAAACATTGTTAGAATTTTATACATTTATGTTAACCATAAAATAAACTGAACAAAACGAGGTATTTCATCAATTGAAAGATGTTCCTCTGACCTGACCTTTCAAATATTTTGTTCTCAAACATCTCTTGTTTGAAATGGAAACACAAACAAAGAATAAAAAACATACGGGAAAGTGCGAGTTACCTGTGAATAATTATTGAGTTCTGAAAGAAAAATTGTAAAGATACTGTTGGAAGCCCGTGCTATTCATAGTGTCGAGAATACGAAACTCTTTTTTTCATATTCTTTGAAGAGATTTTGCATTACGTTAAACAGCTTATATTACAAGGTAGAATTATACAACTAAAAGGATTAAGATTAATCGGATAACTGTACGAACAAGATATCCAACAAAGTATAAAACAATGTTTTGACCTTTGTACTTCATGATATTCATACCATCGTTTCTTTTTTTTCTTATTCGTATCGTTAAAGTAAACATATATAATCTAAACCTAATTATCAAATCAATGATACAAAAAATGATTATTTCTTAATGGAACATCGATCAGCTACATTTAATACAGAAGAATTAACACAATTTATGTCTGGTGGATCAAAAAAATTATTTTGAACTCAACACACGTCGAAAAATCAGTTCAGTAAAATAAAAGGATTCAAAATCGTTTTTTTAATCAATTTATTTGTTAGTTCGTTCAACCATTGAACATCTAACTCTCGGTGAATATTATTCATTTACTATTCGGAAAAGTCTTCTAAGTCAAACGTTTGAACATCACTGATAATAAATATCGTGAATAGTTCTTTGATACGTTCGTTAATAAGTGTTTCGTATATTTTATTCATACAACAATGTCTTTATATGCACTTGAAACTATATGTAATGATGAACAAAAACGACAATTTTTACCACTTGCTCATTCTTATGATATTACAACTGCTTATGCAGAAACAGAAGCGGTATTTGTGCGTGCAACAGATTCATTTGTACTACATTTACATCAAGAAAAATCTGCCCAGATGTAAACCAAGTAGATCAGTTAATCATATTGTACTTGTAGCTCAATTATCTGCACTTGATCAAAATCATCCATGTGATTTACAAATGTTTTTAGTACAAATTCGTGATTTGAAAACACATGAACCATTTCCACGTTAGGCTTTCTCAGTTAATTGAAGTAGGTGTAAATGGTGTTCGTTTTGTATACAATCTTGATGATAATAGCTATCTTCGATTGAAGAATGTGCGTATTCCACATACTCAAATGCCTATGAAATGGGATGAAGTATAGAAGAAGTTTTTGTTTTCTTCAATTGCAATGTATTTCTTTTTTATCAAAGGTTGATGAAAAAGGGTCCAATATAAAAATCTAGATGATGATTGTCTTCTATATGGTACACTCCTTCAAGCACAGATCTATCTGTGTGATACATTTATAATTGCGACATGTTGTTCAGCTGTTCGTTTTCAAAGACAAAATCCACAAGGGTATATTGAATTTCTTTTCTCTCTTCAAAATAACTTTATTTGAATTTTATAAATAGAAATGATATCCGACTTCTGGATTATCGATTACAACAAGAAAAACTTGTATTATGGTTTTTTCGTTGGAAATGGATTGGTAGGAATTAGAAATATTCTTGATGCAGGTTGCACAATTGAAGGAGATAATGTTGTTTTACTTCAACAAACTGCTAGATATCGATTGAAAATTATGGAAGAACTTGAAGATAATAATGATAAAAATATTAATCCATCAGTAACTTATTCAAATACACAATTATGACCATCGAAAAATCATAAAGAATCTTGATGATTATTGTCGTATACGTATTTGAAAGTCGATCACAATTGTATGCATATTAATTTATAAGATTGATTCTTTTTTATTTATTTATATCAATTATAGATTAAGCAAATAGATTTATGAAATAATATCAAAATCATCATCTCCTGACGAACAATTCTTTAATAATTCAGTTCAACTCGTACATACAACTAAAGTAACAAATCCACTACTCATTTAGTCACGTAATTGTAATAGTTTTTGTAGACTCATATAGAAACATTTATAATGCGAGTATTTTCCGAACAAATAAATAAATAAATAAAGCTAATCGGTTCTTGAACAACACTTATCTGTATTTGCTATTCATACAATACGTAATGGATCTACTGATTTTATTCACGTATGTCCATTATATCTAAATTATTTCTTAACATTTATCTATAATAGATGAAATTATTATCAGTTGATCAAATCTATGAACTTGGTAAGTAGAAGACCAAAAAGTATTATGAAGTTTTCAGTTGATAAATATGAAACAGATACAACACATCTGTTCAAAAAATCTTGATTTTTCTAAAAACGGAACAAACATTTGTATCTAATGAATATTCACTGGTGTCCTTAAAAGATTTTATTCATTAGTAAAAAGAAAATGTTTCCTATGAGATGTTTTTTTCTTTTAACTTTTTTTCATTATATAATTGCTTTACCATAATTGAATCTTTATTTTACAAACGAAATCAATGAATATGATGATTCAATTGGTATTGGATATAATTGTTTTCGTATTGCTTCGAATATAAATCAAGCATATTTTAATCGGCAATTTATATCATATTGTTTAAGTGAATCATCTTTTCAATTTCATATTGAAAATGATTCATTATTTTCAAAATATTCTTTCCTAAATCTTAAAGAAAGAAAAATCACAAGTGAAGATTTATATTTGTGGTCAATTCCAATTGATATTATTGAAAACTATGAGATTTATATTGAAACAAATGATATTTCATTAGAAGATGAAATGATTACAAATTGTACATTACCAAGATTTGGATCAATGTGTCAATATGAATTCTATTATTATCATAGAAATTATTCATCTTTATATGAAATTATTCATGGTTATTATAAAAGTTATGAATACGATCCACCTGATTTAACATGTTATTTACATTTACAATGTAATCGAGATTATGCATCTGTTTGTTTAGACTGGACAGAAATTTGTAATGGAAAACTTGATTGTCTTGATGGTCCATATGATGAAGAACATTGTTGGCAATTAGAATTCATTGAATGTAATGAACATGAATATCAATGTCAAAATGGACTTTGTATTCCAAATGAATTTGTTAATGATAATGTAATTAATTTTGATTGTCTTGATCGATCAGATGAAATAAATCCCAATTTAGATGTGTACAGAATTATGCATAGACAAGAACCTGCATTTGGATATGAAGATGCTATATGTCAAAATCGATTTTTAACAAATTCTTGTTTTGAAAAACGACATGATTTGTTATTGAAATCAATATTTTCAATAAAAGATCAATCAATATCAAATCAATGTTGGTTTGCACTTCAATATTATTTTGGTATTAAAAATTCCATGTATTCATCTCTTTCAATAAATATAATGAATAATATTTGTAAAACAATTCTTAAAGAAAATTGCTCAGAGACTTTAGTTTTTCCAAATATTCCCATTTTCTTTGGCCATATTTATATGGTTTTTAATACAAATAACTTATCATTTCCTTATTTATGTTCGAATCAATCTCATTTTACTTATGATATATCAATTAATTATATGAAATGTTTGAGTACTGATCTAAATTTACAACTAATAATTGAAAATGAAATAACTTGGTAAATACGATATGAAGAGCCCGTGAATTTGATATATGAAAAATTCAAACACATCCATCCAATAGTTAATTTACCTCTGAATCAACCAAATATTTATCAATGTGTGAATTCACCGAAATGGATTTCATATCATCGTTTAATGAACGGAATAGTTGATTGTCCATTGAAGGATGATGAAAATCTAAATATGGAATTGTTTCCTAATTTAAAATGGAAATCTTATCATTGTTATTTTACTAATAAAGCGATATCTCGATATGCATTATACAATAAATATTGTGATTGTGGAAGACTTGATGATGGATTTTGTGAAGATGAAAATGAAATATATAATTTTACTCGAAGGACAATACGTTTTCAAACAATTTGTGATGGTTTTCCAGATTTATATCCAATTCTAATTGATCAAATGAAAGAAACAGATGAAACAAATTGTCAAGAATGGAAATGTAATAATATTTATACAAATTGTAATGGAATACATAATTGTTTTTCACGAGAAGATGAAACAGATTGCGATTCGTCTTCATTGAATTGTTCATCTGATTCTCGATTATGTGTTACAAAAGATACATTACAATTTATATGTTTACCGATAAAGAAAATGAATGATGGCATTGTTGACTGTCTTGGTGGAACTGATGAAGAAAATTTATGTCCAATGATAGGTACTTATTTCATAAGTAAAGGGTTTTACTGTATAGATAAAAGCTATTCAACATTATGTGTGAGACAGCCAGCTTTATGCGATGGCATTGAATCTTGTGTAGATGGAGATGATGAAAGATTCTGTCAAATGAACCAATCACAATCAAAATATCCAATATGTTTAAATCAATCATTATTATTTCTTAATAAAGTTGCACATTTTTTTTGTGATTATACAGAACAATATTTTAGAAGCCCATATACATATTTCAAATTAAATGGTTATAATGAATTATTTCATAAGAATGTTAATGAAAATCCATCAATCAATGTCATCTATTCAAATAATAAAGATCAACCACTTCCACTTTTAGATAAAACTCGTTGTCATCGTGGTCTCGATTTACGTGTTTGGTTAAATAAATCCTCAAATAATTCTACACATACTTGTCTTTGTCCACAAACATATTATGGCTCACAATGTCAATATCAAAATCAACGTATAAGTTTAGCAATTCGATTTCATACTCCTGTTCAATTACGAGAAATACGATTTTTAGTCTTAGTTTTACTTATTGATAATACAAATCAACGAACAATTCATTCCTATGAACAATTTACTTATTTATCTAAACGAGATTGTAAAGTGAAATTTAATCTTTATTTACTTTATTCAACTCGACCAAAAGATCTCAATCGAAATTATTCAATTCATATTGAGATTTATGATAAGCCATTTCTGAAATATCGAACAAGTTTTATTTATCCAATTGAATTTTCTTTTTTACCCGTTTATCGTTTAGCATTACTTATTAAAATTCCATCGGAAAATGAACAAATTTGTTCGAAAAGAAAATGTTTACATGGTCAATGTCGATATTATTTCAATAAGAAACAAACATTTTGTCAATGTGAACAAGGATGGTCAGGAGAATTTTGTTCAATGCCCTATAATTCTACATGTTCATCATTAAATTCGTTATCAATTGGTTTATTAAATCATCATCGATCAATTTGTATTTGTAAAGAGAACTACTTTGGTTCTCAATGTTATCTCCGAAATCGAATTTGTGATAATTTTCCATGTGAGAATAATGGTTTATGTGTTCCATATGATGATTTTCTATTATTAACAAATGAAGAATATTTTTGTATTTGTCCAAAGGGTTTCAGTGGAAAACGATGTGAATTAATTGATGTACAAATCGATTTAATATTTGATACAAAGATTGATTTATCTCATTCAATTTTTATTCATTTTATAACAATTACTCCGCTTAGTTCATCTGCAACTAGTATTAATAAAGTTTCACCTGAAAGATCAACAACATTACAAACTATATCTCAAGCCACGAACTCTATTCGAATTTATTGGTCACAACCATTTCATTTGACATTTATTGAAACCTTAGATAGAAAATATTATTTAGCTGTCATTCAACCAATTTATAATCATTCAGTGATAATTAATCAAAGAATTGATTCAACACATCGTTGTTCATCAATAAATGATTTAGTTAATGAAACTTTCTCACAACTTCATCGTCTTATTCGAATAAAATCTTATCATCAGATTTGTCAAAAATATTCTCCTAATCTTCAATGTTTTTATGATGATGTTCATCTATGTTTATGTTATGATTTTCAAGGAAAACGTTTAGCAAATTGTTTTCATTTTGATCATCAAATGAAATTTGATTGTTTTGGACAAAATCATTGCGAAAATCAAGGACAATGTTTTCAAGATTCACCATCATGTCCAAAACGATCCATATGTGTTTGTCCTTCATGTTATTATGGAACTCGTTGTCAATTTACAACAAGCGAATTCGGTCTATCACTTGACGCTATTTTAGCTTATCATATTATTCCAGATGTTGGTATATTGAATCAAACATTTCTTGTTAAAATAAGCTTTTTCTTTACTATTTTATTTCTAATTATTGGATTTATAAATGGAGTACTTTCATTAATAACATTTAAAAATAAAAATATATGTGAAGTTGGATGTGGAGTATATCTATTTGGTTCATCAATAACAACGATATTAACAACAATTTTCTTTGGGTTAAAATATTTTATTTATCTTTATACACAAATACCAACATTATCAAATGAAAATTTCTTGAAAATTCAATGTTATTCATTAGATTTTCTGTTACGAATTTGTCTTTCAATCAATCAATGGTTAAATGCATGTGTAGCGCTAGAAAGAACAATCACCATTATTCAAGGTATTCGATTTATGAAAAAGAAAAGTAAAAAAGTATCGAAAATAATTATTATTATTCTTTTAATTTTAATTATATTAACATCAATTCATGAACCAATTTCTCGACATTTACTTTTTGAAGAAAATGATGAAAATGATCGAATAAGAATTTGGTGTGTTGTGAAATATTCTTCAACTATACAACTTTATAATCAAATTCTTCAAACATTTCATTTTTTTCTTCCATTTTTAATCAATTTAATTTCCTCAATTGTTTTAATAATAACAAAATCATATCAACAACTGCATCTTCATCAAACACGACGTTATAAAGATATTGTACATGAACAAATTCAAGAACATCAACATCTATTAATTGCACCAATTGTTTTATTTCTTCTTGCATTACCACGTTTAATTATTTCTTATTTAACAAAATGTATGAATTCAACAAATGATTCATGGTTATTTCTCGTTGGATATTTTATTTCATTTATTCCATCGATAATTACGTTTTTTATTTTTGTTTTACCGTCAACATTTTACAAGAATGAATATCGAAAATCAGTTTTACGTTATCAAAAACGAGTTCAACAATGCTTTCTTAGTACATTAAAATAAGATTTCTGTATATAGTTCGCTTAATTGCCTTTGAAAGTATGAATAAATGCAATACGCTTTCGCCCTTATCGTCAAAATGAAAAGTTAATTTATATTATCAATACATTGACACATATGATTCTCTTGTAAAGGACGCGTATCTGTAGTAGTAGTTCCACCAGCAAAAAAGTTGAAAAGCAGTAAGCATATCTATTTTATAAGCATTACAGGATGGGTGAGGGCGTGTGGATGAAAAACGCCCATTTCCTCATCCTCACTATCAAGAGGCTCATTACGACGTTTTGCTCGTTTTCTAAAGCGAAGCAGTGATTGATGAATGTTTGCTGCAGTTAGTCGTTATGAACGCCACTTGGTAGCAGTTTTTCTAAGATTACCTCGTATCCACCTCCTTGATGATCTGCAAACACCCTTACAGCGTTTTCCTAGATCTACGACAATTCCATGGAAATTTGCGTCCTTTTTCCATCATAAAAGGATGAGGGTGAAATTTCACCCACTGCACGCCCAACTTAATAACATTTACTCCTCGTTGAGCTAGAAAAGCTCGCTCGATGTTTCGCTAGACCTTGCAAGGCAGCATGCAAAGTTCGACGATCTGATCTACCATAGAACTACTTGGGTGAAATCTCACCCACGGTCTCCGCCCTTCCCGATCTATCTCTTTATTGTCCTTCCAACATCCTATATACCCTTCCCTATCCATACGAAAGTAGTATAAATGGTTGGGCGTGGTTTCCGGTCTCAAAATCGCATGTGCGAAATTTCACCTATTTAGATGATCCTCACCCGACCTTCAACACTGGTCTAATAACTCGTTCCCAGCGTTTCCATCCACTCACGGCGGCTTCGGGACATCGTTCGGGTGAAATTCGACACCCACACTTCAAGATTCGATAAATTATGTAAATTACCTCGAAATCGCAGATTAACTTTGTATAGTCTGCTGAAATCTCTACCAAAATACCCGTGTAAGTAGTTGACAAAATCAAGCGATAGTTTCATGATGTCACCGAATAAAAAGCTGCCATCCTTTGGTTATTTTTTCTCTTTAGCATTTTTCTGGTCCTAACAAGTAAAACACGTTCTAACAACAGCATCGACAGAGTGAGAGATATTCTAATCAAAAGAATAAAGCTGAATAAAATGTTCTTTTTCTCTAGAATATCATATTTCCATCATCACAGATAAATAGCACAAGCTTTGGATCGTTTTGCTGTTAGTCAAGATTCTAGAAAGAAATAGAAAATCTGTAGAAGACGATAGCAGGACGTGTAAGCAAAGGTGAGCAATTTTTTTGTTTTATTCAGTGAATTAAAATAGATTTCCTAAAGATTTGAGAGAAAAGAGTTACAATTCACATTGACTGTAGCGGAAAACCACCATTGGCAGAAATACACAATAAACGATCTATCGCAATGACAATACATCGTGCATTGATTCATCTTTGGTACTTTCTATGCTACTCATCAGCACTTTCTGATTCTTATATATTACTTTATCATACGGAAAATTCACCATCAGTACAACATTTCGATTGTATCTATTACACACGATTGATAATTCTGGACAACATTCAAGGAGTGAAATATTGTCGTCAGTTGAACGAAACTCAACCATTACAACGTGATTTCAATCAATCCTGTCATAACGGTGGACAACTATGGTCATTTGAAACATTATCAAGCCTTAATGTTTCAGCATCAGATGTTTTACAGTGGAGTTCAAGTCTAGAACAAACCGATCTTTATTCACAATATTTATTCAACAAGTCACTGGATATGAAAGATGAGTATATTTGCAACTGTACAAATCCATCTTCATTCGGAAAATTTTGTGAATACAAATTTTATGGAAATAGTATTTTCTTTGATGATGCCATCGCCGAACAGTTCAAACCACTTGAGAGTTACACTATGAAAAGTGGCAAGATTCATGTTAGTAGTCAACTTCATGATAATCGACCATGTTACATGACATGGACATGTGATTCAGGATTGATGTGTCTCGATTGGAGACATATTTGTGATGGTTAAGATTGTTATAATTGTATCTAGATGATTGTGTTTTTGTAGGTAAACAACAATGTATGAATGGTTTAGATGAAGATTATTGTGAAAGATTAGAATTTAATGAATGTGAAGATGATGAATATCGATGTGCAAATGGAATGTGTATTTCAGATCAATATTGGTTAGATGTAGAGTATGATTGTATGGATTGGACAGATGAGATGAATATTCTTGTCGTGTCAGGAATCAACTGTTCCAATACGCCCTCATCGATTTGTGATGAGCATGTGTGTCTCTACAGTCAATGGTCATGTGGCGATGGTGAGCTTTCATTTTTATTAGATGTGGAAAGTCAGTAGTTCGTCACTACTTTTCTCGTAGATCAATGTATCTCTTACGAAACTGATCGACACAAAGGTGTTCGATTGATGATGGATATTGTTTGCCTTACTCATTAGCTTATCAAAACATATGTCTTGAATCAACAGATTTTACAGATAAATGCATATTCTCATCAAGGTGCGCATTGAGTGATGGTCTTAATAAAGACTGTGAATGCAAAAGTGCTCTTATATGCCGTTCATTAGTTAACAACTCATGCTCATATCAGAAGGTGGTGTGGTATCCGAAATTAGGTCCACTTCTTACGCCCTATATTTATATGGCTTATGTATATGATCGCGATTGGAGAAAAAAGAGGCCTGACAGTTTTGAAATTGATGGCAAAATCAAATGTATTGGTTATCAGTCAGCTACAATTCGTCGTTGGTTGTACCCAATGCCTAAAGTTCAAGGACTCTTTCTCTACATGGATTGGGAGTATTTACTTTGTAACATGGAATCTATAGCCATTCAGAATGACTCAGCTTCACGTTACGATATGAGCTGTTGGAATAATTCAAAAACATTCAACAATCGTTCTTATCAAGTTTCATTTTTCTGTAAATCAAGATGTATATCAAAGTACCGAGCCCGAGATGGAGTCGTTGATTGTTTTGAAAATGAAGAATTGAAAACTATCAATAACTCTTGTTCACAAATCCAGTGTCAGCGTTTCCAGTGTTAATCATCTGAACCAACGTGTCTATCAGGCGGCGCAGTGGCGAATTTTAATGCTGACTGCACCAACGGACGAGATGAATTCGATCACGAAAATGATATCGCACTTTTAAATGAAGAAAACCTCTGCGCCAAAAATTCTCCTCTAAAATGTGATTATCTTCGAGAATATATTCAGATTTCATCAGAGAACGACACGAACAAAGTCACGATTGTGAAAAATTCATCAAAAGCAAGTTCATTTCGCTCATATTGTAATTCATTTTTTGATACAAACTCAGTGACTGATGAATTGCCAGAGTTATGTAAAAACTGGATTTGTTCGAAGGATGAATATCAATGTTTATCTGGCCAATGCATTTCACGCAGTTGGCTTTGTGATGGTAAGTTTATCCTGTTGAGTACTTTGATTTATTTTTGTTTTCGTCTTTTTCCAGGTGAGTGGGACTGCAATGATGGGTCAGATGAACAACGTCTTTTCATTATAAATCATCTTAGTGAACACAATTCAAAACTAATTCATTTAAACCAACTAAAACAACAATGTCAAAGACGGTATCACTCAAAGAATACTCCATTTTCTGATATATGTAATATTTCATTTGAATATCCATGTTTTCGAACTGGTATTGATGATATATTTAATGTGGAAGATAATCGTCCATGTATCAATTTAACACAAATTGGAGATGGAAAACAGATTGTTTGACTGGTCTTGATGAAAGAAATCGATTACAATGTTCCGATAGGGGTATGCTGGGTTTCCATGTTCAGTACAATGACAGTTTGTGTATTCCATACATTCATCTGTGCACGTTTGACTGTCCGTGGGAGCCGGGTACCAATATCGCCTATGATTCGGTGTGTTTTCATCGGAAAAACGTCACTATAAATAATACTGGTATTCAATGTAATAGTCCGAGTGATGCGATGTGCCTCAATGATACTTGTATCAAAAATGCACGATGTAATGGGCGAGTCGCATGTCCTCATGGTGAAGATTAGTATCGATTTGTACCACAAAAACAAACAACGTTGAAGTACCGACAGCTCAAAGCGAGACCAGTGAAACGCTCACGAATTCCAAATTATCCAACATTAACACAATCATTGCAGAACACTTATTCATCAATGCTCATTCAAAACCAAACAGATACTCTATTAAACTTAACATTGAACTCGAAATCCGATGATCATGTAACAAGGGTATTTGCGAAACATTATCTTAAAACAAAATCAGTTTATGAAACTGTTCGTGATGCACTTCCAACCGATACAGTAACATTTGAAAATGATTATCTTCCATTTATTTGTAATCGTGGTGTTGCAGTCAAATATTATACAGGTTAAACAGTGTGTTTTTGTCCACCAAGTTTTTATGGTTTACAATGTGAATATTATAGTGATCGAATCACAGTTCTCACACATCTTCATTTGAACGATCATCTTCGATCTTTCAATAAACTAAATCAAATCAAAGTTTTGACAACATTTCTGTTCAAAGATGAAATAATTGATTATTATGAATTTCATGTTGATCCACAAACACAAGTTGATAACAATTATGTTAAACAGCAGATTTATTTTGTGTATTCTCGATCAAAACAAGTTCTTCACATGAAGACAACAAATCGAAGCGGCACTCAGTTATACAGTGTTCGATTCGAAGCATTTAATTTACTTTTAAATGAAAGAATTGAGATCATTGGAGTATGGAAATATCCAATCTATTTTGATAATCTTCCATCATTTCGATTATCAAAGATTCTACGATTTCAATCACTCACTCCACCCTCAAATATAAACGATCCTTGTTCAAATCATTCGTGTAGTCCAAATGGAATCTGTCAAAGGATAATCAATTCAAACCATCGATCGTATTTTTGTTTTTGTAAAAGTGGTTATTATGGAAATGATTGTGAACATTATGATGAAGAATGTAACAATTATTGTTCACCACAATCAATTTGTAGACCAAACTATCGTGGCATTTTATCTGAAAATCAACGAGATCCATTCTGTGTATGTCCAGTATCAACATTTGGTCCGAAATGTTATTTTAAAAATATTAATTATCACCAAAATCCATGTTTGAATGGAGGAAGTTGTATTGTGACATATGATTTAACTGATATCAATAATCATAGCTGTATTTGTACTGATCTATTCGAAGGAAATTATTGTCAAACATCAAAAGGAAGGATAAATATCAGATTTCACCTAACTCAATAGAACAAACAAGTGATGTTGTTGCTGCAACAGTTTTATATAGTGATTATCACCCCTTATCATTGCAATTACATGTTCGTCATCAGCAAGTCTATTCTTATTTACCTTCAAATTTAAAATTAAGATACAGCAAAGAACTTGGCACTTATGCACCAACAACGGCAGTTCTCAAAGTATACAAATCAAATGATCATCGCGAAGAACCAAACTATTATTTATTGTATTTTTATCCGAATCAGACAGAAATGAATATTACAGTTGATTTGACCATGGAAAATTTCTATCCATTAGTTGAAACATTATGGGACTCATTCCAGACAAATAAGACACCAGGTAAGCTAGGATGCTCCTGTAGTGACATAGGTTGTAGAGTAAAACTCCTTCTGTACATCCTCGACTAGTGAGAATTCCTCAAATTTCTATTCACACTTTTTGGCAAATTGTTTGACACCACCTGAGAAAGTTAATTACTTTACTTGTATTTCATATTAATATAATCGATCTATTTCTGTAGGATATTATGTCCAGAATTCCACGTTCAACTCGACAACGTCTGTCTTCTTCTATCATCGTATCTGCCAATCAAAGCGAAGCATCACAACAAATTTGACTTGTTTTCGTGATTTGTATTATTTCTGTATTTGCGAAGAGGATCATTATCGTGCCGAATGTTTTGGATACAAACACTTAAATGATCGATGTTCTTTATGTTTGTTAAATGGTTATTGTCTGAAAAGTGAATTACTAGATAAATCAGATTTTATTTGTCTTTGTCCACATTGTCGTTATGGAAAAATATGTGAATATTCTACTGAGATAATGGGGTTCACATTGGGTTCGCTGATTGTCAAAGATATTCAATATCATCGTCAAATCTACACTGGATTTTACATTTCGATTGCAGTTTTAATCTTTTTGTTTGGTTTGTTCAATAATTTGAATAGTTTTTTCACATTTATTCGCCCCAAACAACGAAAAGTGGCTGTTGGAAACTATCTTCTGATTATTTCTATTGTTAATTAATGTTCCTTGTTACTTTTACTCTTCAAAGTTATTCATATTATACTTGGCAGTAATGGAACATTATTCTCCTACACAAATCTTAATTTCTATTCGTGTAAGATTATTTCTTTTCTTCTCTCTATCTTGACCCGCATCACTTATTGGTTAACAAGTTTGATATCAACTGAACGTCTTTGTTTGGTCTTGTTTCCAACATCTGTCACATTGAAGAATCCACGTCGGGCAATGGGTTTTATTATCAGTGTAATTCTGTTTGTTTCTGCTATGCATATCCATGAATTGATATATTATAAAACAATTGATGATCTTTCTTATTCATCTGATGATGTCACTATTTGTGTTACTGATAATGTTCAATCATCTGTGTCAACTTACGCTCGTATAAATGTCATAATTCATTATTTTATTCGATTTATCATTCAAATCATTTCAATCACTATTTTAATTATTCAAGTTGCTTATAATCTATTACGAGCTAGTAGCAAGAATAAGCAACAAAGATTCTTCATTATTTTAAAAGGACAGTTGAAAGAACTAAAAGAACAATATGTAACACCAATGATTATTGTTGTCAGTTCATTACCACAAATGATTCTGTCTTTTTTATATGCATGTACTGATTTAAACCAATCTTGGCAGCGATACACTTTGTTAGCGAGCTATTTTCTTTCGTTTTTACCACAAATGTTAGGTTTTATTTTGTATGTGTTACCATCAACCGTCTATTCAGAGGAATTTTATCAAACTGCAATAGGCAAACCATTTTTCGGCAAAAACTGGTGTCTCCACCGCGAAACCAAAACATCCAAATGAAAGTACGGTGACGCGGCTTTGAAAATCCACACAATGAGTAAGGTGAGTGCACAAAACTTCGAGATATATTTTTTGCTTACTCGACCTTAATTTCACGCCTTTCGATATCTGTCGAATTTCTGATCAATCAAAGAAAATAAACAGTAAAAGAATAATTTCGATTATCTGAAACGCGATTTTAATGCATCCTTCAACTTTATTTAATGATTTTTGCACAACTCTTGATGCTTGGTGTATACTTGTTCAAGCTTCTATATTATAGTTTCATTTCGATTACTATTCCTCTTTGCCCTCATTTAATCTTGTAATGAGTTCTACTTATGCCTTCGTTTTCATATTCGTATACATATATATTTATCTCCTATAAAATAAACAGCGAAAAAAAAGCATGTTCGCCACTATACGAGCATTATTATATGGCGACCCTGACTAACAATTTAACGATTTAGTAATCATGTAACGTTTACCAATTGCGAAAATCGAAACACTGACTTTGGTCATGGACTATCACATCAATCAGTTGACCGCTAATCAACTCCTTTGACCATTGTTTCAGTGCCTCTTTCACAGCTGATCATTGAAATAGCTACTTTAAATGTCTCCTAAAAACATTGTTTACCGAGTCGTCGAAGAACCACTGACGGGGATTTGTGATAGGATTAAATAAATGCGGAAACTTCGGATTTCATCTGAAAGTTAAATGTACTGTAAAAAGTGTATCAGATGGAGCAGATGCCAAGTCAAAGAGAAATATCAATAGCTTTTCGATGACTCCCGAATTATTCGACCAAACAGTCTCATCTTCGAAATTTAGCCAGATTCTAGCGAGAGAATGCGTCATGGAAAACTTCATCACAATCAAATTACCCTGTCAGGAGCTATGGCGTAAACCAACGGTAGAGACACAATGACTGGTTCTACATCATTAGGTCAGTCAAAAAGTTCTTTCACTTTCAAATATTCATTCTTAGAAAAAGCATCTTGTTAATCTTTTGTTCCTAAATATCTTCCGAGTTAGTCTCGACAATGTTTTAAAGAAAGTATTATCCTTTTATCTCAATTCTGGAATAACTTTTCGTAATCTGAAGTATAGGTTGATTCGAACTCTGTGGTAATTAACTTAGCGGAACTTCCAGCATCTGTATTTTTACTACAAGTACAATCGGGACAACTTAACAAACTCGATATCGAAGCAGAAAAGTAAGATCTGTGTCACGGGTTAAATCCTCACACAGCCAATCCAGATCTTTTTTCTCTCTTAGGTTTTCTCTACAGTTGCATTCACTCTTCTACGTGTTATGCTATCCCAGGATGTCATTTCATTTCTCGTTTTCGCTGGTCGTTCACGTTCTCGTCGTGCTATAAAAACATCCGAAGAGTAATCACCTCGCAGATCGGTGTGAAGCTAGTACCATCAAACACATAGGATATCCTAGTACTCGGTTCGCCTGTGAGACCATTCCAACTATACCAAGAAGCATTCCAAGTAGAACTCGACGAACTCTACAATGTTGCAATAGAACACTTTTTTGTCAGATCCTTCCTTGCTTCTCAAAAATGCAAAAAGCCACCCTCAAGATGGTGATAAAAAATTAGTATTTTTTTTAAAAATTTTTTCACAGCCTTTTCCAATGAAACAAACATTGGTCCTGACTAGATTTTGAGTAGTACTATCGATTTCACATCTCATTTGTCATTTTCCAAGGTGTTACTACTGAGAAACATGCTAATTACTATTATTTCAGTGAAATACATCTTCACTCTTATCATTCATTGGTCTGTTTGTGTCAGTCAATAGAGATGTGAGGATCGAAAATAGTAGAATTTTCACAAAATATTTATTGCTTGAAATTTTTAAAAATTTTAATTCTTTTTAGAAGTTCTTTTCTTTTCTTGTTTTATTCTTATTTTTTCCTTCCCTGAAAGAAAGATTTATAGACGTGCTTAAACTCGTTGAAAGGTTGTTTGTTTGTCTAAGTCAATGAAATTGCAATATTTTATAAATCAGTGAAAATTCAACTATTGTCAGTAGGAAATGGTCGACGAAAGGTAAATCGGGTTTGAGGATTATAAATCCGATGGTAATTTTTCGAAAAAAGTCTAGGTCGTTTTTTTTGCGACAAAAGACAACTTTTTTCGATAGAAAACATTTCGTTTTCCGGTTGATCGAAAGGAGCGGCGGTAATAGAAGTACGAATCTGATTTTAGTTTTTGAAAACACTCATTAATTAATTCGTTAACTAACTTATCGTTGATTGTAATAGTGTAGAGTAAGGGCTAACAAGAAGATTCCCACAATTGAGGATGACGAATCTGATGTTAGTGTTCCAAAATTTTTCAGTCTATTTTTTAAACAAAGAACCACTTTTCTTCAAAAGAAAATTTTGTGATAATGCTGAGCGAAAGGTTTTCAAGGCCAAGGAACAAGGACCTGATTTCACTTTTTCCTCAAAAATTTTCATTGTGTGTTTTTAGACAATGGGCCACTTTTTTACAAAAACAACTTTCTTAAATAATAATTGAGGGAAGATATTTCGACGTCGAGGAACAGGAATCATGATGTTAACTTTTTTCGTAAGTTATTATCTGTGGTCTTTGTTCATATCTACTCTCTTTCTGGAAACTGAATTTGTTTTCGAATTTTCTTTTGGAGTTTGACCAAGGGATATCAAGAATAACGAATATGAATCTAACGTTAATTGTTTGTAATGAATTTCACTTAAGTCTTTTGTTCTTCACAAAAGAAATCCCAGAGTCTGTATAATTTTCAAAACTTCATGAAAGACAATGAAGTAGAGAAATTTCGAGGGTTGTAATGCGTCCCATTGTAAGCATTTAGGAGTTCTCACGTACGACGTAGATCGAGCATTTTCAGCATGTTTGCGAAATTTAGTGAACGTTATACTCAAATTGTGGTCGTCATAGTTCAAAGAGTCAGTCGAGATTATAGTCTTTCATAAATGAGAAATTGCTTTGCAACGATTCAGATGACTGATGTTTTGGATTATGCTATGAATACATCGTTGTTGAGAAATTCAGACATTCTTATATCAACGAAGAAAATATTATCATTTGCAGTGCATGGAATTTCTTCTGACTCTACTTTGATAACTCTTATTAAATGAAAGCTGCCGCCTGTAGTTACCTACATCAGTTTGTAGTACGCATAGATTTTCGCACCTATTGATGAATTGTTATTAATGCCTGCATTGCCTGTCGGTTGTCTTACGAATGCTTCGTCTTTTGAAATTGAACAATATCTGAGGACGGTAAAATGAGAGCGGAACAAAGATCATCACTTTCAAGAGAATTATTTTCGAAAAATATCTTTTAAACAAGTGCACATCTTGGTTTATCTTCGAAAAATATGTAGTAGCATGCAAATGGTGTGTCAATTTGTGTTATTTGGAACATTCAATTATTGATTCGCCATCGCAACGGATAGAAACTTCGATGTTCAAAGGGAATTTCAGCAGCTGCAGGTCGACGCAACTGTGTTAGTGGCCTCTGATTATTCGGATGTTCGACTCCTTCCGCCAGAGCAGTTGAGGTCCGACTTTCCTCTAATCGCCTGTTCTCTGTCGGATCTACTTGTGCATTTTTTCCCGTGTGATCGATACGTTGTAGTTCTGAGGAAGGTATCGGTACCAAACCAATAGGATGTCGATCATTATCTGTCGAATAAATCAGATTTTCTAGTTTTTTGCCGGTTACTAACAACTCAAGACCATTATCGACATCCATAAGAGTAACATGAAATATGGACAGCATTTTAACACGATCGACCAGATCTTTCCATCGACTCAAATCAATTTCATCGAAAGCTTTCACTTTCTGATGTACCAAATCGAGTTGATCCAGAAGTAAACCTAATTCTTGTCTTGGTTTAGATAAACACTCGCCGCCGGCATCGATCACTTCTTGTCGCATGAGCGTGGCTGTTTTTNCAGTTAACAATATACTGTTTCTACGGTCAATTGAGAACAATAAAATAAAAACGACAACTACGTAGATAAAACATTATTCATCAATTATCTTTTTTGTCATTGATATTTCTTGTTTGCTTATTAGAAAATAAACCTGAGTCAAATAGATGGATAACAAATCTAATATGCTACACATTGCAAGCATAAAACACTTGGATTAGACTTTTAATAGAGGTGAAATTTTCAGTACTAGTGTCCATAACATCTTGGAAAGCCGAGGCGAGCCGAGGCGAACTTTTAAAATGTGAACACGAGGCGAGCCGAGGCGAGGTAAAAGATTAACGAGGCGAAGCGAGGCGAGGCAGCAAAATATTGCCTCGTTTCGCTCTCTGGTGGTGAGTAATAAACCCTACACAACGATTTATCAAACTGGTCAGTTCTTTAAGATATGTTTTTTCCCTTTATTAGCATCATAAACCTTTTGATATACCTGCTCTCGTGATCTACTCAAAAATGTATTTTATATGTTGCAATCTGATAGACGTTTAAGGGTATACCAAAAGATTTATGCTGCTAATAAACGGAAGAAACGTATCTCAAAGAATTAATCAGTTTGATAAATCCTTTTGAAGGGTTTATTCTCACCAAAGATTTTTTTCAGTGAAGGTCTACGTCTGAGTTTCAACTATATCATTAGATTATGATAAATAGTTGTCTTTTACTGAAATCTGATCAATATTTTTAACTATTTTAGAACTAAATTTTTAACGAAATACATGTATGCGATCAAATTGACGTTTATCAAGTTTTCATATACTCCTAACGATAAATAGCGTCTAAATAGGTGAACTTGTTTTTACAAAAGTAGTTCTTGCTTGAACCTCTTCAGGTGAAAATGCAAGACATAATAATAGAAGGGATGTTGAACTTATTATAGTTTCATAAACAAAAACAAATGCTTTTATATTCTCTCGATAACTTTTTCTGATAAACCATGTCGTTTATCAACTAAGAGATGAAACAATTTGAATTTGGACTCTTTTTTCTCGCACCGTGATTTCACGTACCGAATTTGTTGCGATACATTCCCATAACGAAAAAATAGATGAAAAGTCTAAATAAAAACGAGAACTAAAGTATTCTGGGCACCGATATCCTTAGGAAAAATTTTAAGATCGTGGTTCACAATAAGAAGCTCGCAGAATATAAACTTCTGGAAGATGGCGCCTCTCAAATATCACTGCTAACCTACTTTTCATCGCGCATTTTCGAAACCGCGGCGACCAGTGCTATCTGTTTTAAAATTTTCTCGTGGGTAGTAGTATAAACCACTGATAAATGCCGAGGAGTCAAGAATGTCGATGTTTGTGTGTGTTTATATACGAATGATAGGTTTAAATGAGAGTGTCTCTGGTGAAAGAAGAATGAATTTACTCACTGGGCGATCGAATATGAAGTTAACGTGCAACGGAGCACCTCCTTATATGTGGTGACATACCGGCAAGCAGAATGAAGCGTTGTGTACGTTGAGTCATACCTGACAGACAATAAAATAAATAGTTTTCATCGGAAGTGGCAGGCAAGAACAAACATAGAACGATTTCGAACGAGTAATCTTTTCATACGGATTCATCCATCGGTATTTTTTCGAAGAAATGGAAACTACTTTTTCGGCGATTGCTTCGAATTACAGACGAAGCACAAAAANACACGACATAAAATTGAGACGAAATGCAATTAAGACGAACTGTAAAAAGACGAAATAAAACCGGACGAAAAGTAAGAAGGACAAATCGTGGCGGACAAAATGTAAGCGACAAATTGTCATCTGCCAAAGTGAGCGGTCACCATCTTTTCATACGGATTCCTCCATCGGTATTTTTTCGAAGAAATGTAAACTACTTTTTCGGCGATTGCTTCGAATTCAAGACAAAGCACAAAAACAAACACTACGAAGAAAAATCCAGTACTGTGAAGAAAGCAAAAGACTCAGGTACCTCTGACGACCGCACATTGACGACAACCATTGTTAGCTCAAACTATAGGGACATCAGCGAAAGAGAGAGGAATCGAGAAAAAGTGACCTTCGGGGGACTCGAACTCACACCTTCTGCTATCCGGGTAGATGTCCTAATCCAGTTAGACTAGAAGGACCGTCTTAATCTCTAGTCTAGCGTTGTGTGATTCATCACAACCGCTAACAACCATAATCATGAATAACTGCAATCCACTTTTTTACTTTCTTCACAGTACTGGATTTTTCTTCGTAGTATTTGTTTCTGTGCTTCGTCTGTAATTCGAAGCAATCGCCGAAAAAGTAGTTTACATTTCTTCGAAAAAATACCGATGGATGAATCCGTATGAAAAGATTACTTATTCGAAATCGTTCTATGTTTGTTCTTGCCTGCCAGTCCCGGTGAAAAATAGTTATTTTATTGTCTGTCAGGTACGACTGAACGCACACAACGCGTTATTCTGCTTACCGGTATGTCACCATATATAAAGGGGTGCTCAGTTGCACGTTACCTTCATATTCGATCGCCCAGTGAGTAAATTCATTCTTCTTTCACCAGAGAAACTTTCATTTATACCTGTTATTCGTATATAAACACACACAAACATCGACATTCTTGACTCCTCGGCATTTCCCAGTGATTTATACTACTAGATACTATTATTCAGTAGAATGATAATTAGAGGGTACCTGTAATTTATGCAACCAGCACAACCACCCACAGAACTACAAAATCTGCATTTTTTTCAAGCATAAGTGGTGTACTGCCACCGAGTGGTAAGGACCTGAATCAGCATCTAGATGGGTGTGCCAAGGGACTCAGTTTACTCCTCCGAAGCAGAGAAAAGTGTTCCTCTCCGTTCCAAAGATATCCCGAATTACATCAGCCTTCATTTAACAGAAACACGTTCACCTAGATTTCCGCTCTCACCCACACCCTCAAGATACATTTCTTGTCTTAAACATGGAAAGGTATGAAAAGAATATAATATTTTAGTATTTTCGCCAAATTAAGATAAGTTTATTTTCATTCAAACTGAATTTTAATTTCCATTACAGATTAAATAAGAAAATATTTTAATTACGAACAAAACTCTTCATTGTATCGGATACCCAACTATAAATATAATGAATAGTAGCAATGTTGCTTCAGCCGAAGAAATCCTGAAACAGGGACAAATGGAGCGTGAAGATGTTAATGCACATATTGAAGACGTTAATGCACATATTGAAGATGTTAATGCACATTTTGAAGATGTTAGTCAACAAGTTTTGCGAAATGATATCTGGAATGCTCTAAAAGCGGATGAAATAGCCGAAGCGTCACTGCAAGTTTCAGCTGAAACAGTCGATTCTTTTGCTGGAGATGCGCAAAGTCATCTTTTTGGGCAATTCCTATCAATTGCAACCAACTTCGCTTCGTTACCATTTGCTGAAAACCTGCACAGAATTCCAGAATTAGTAGAAAGTATTAAGGGATTGCTAGAAGACATGATGAAAGAAGTTCGAGAATACAGTGATATGGCAAGTGAATTTCGTGATCTTATTCAATGTTTTGTTCAAATGGTAACGCAATTAAAACATAACGTTAATATGATGCTTCCTTTGCTTACAAGTGCCAAATCACAAATAGGCGTTCTTGGAGATGTTATGAGTACAGATTCAAGTATAAAAATGAATGACGTGGATAAAAAAGATCTTCAACTTGCTCTGAATCGACTGTCAACTGGAATACAAGACTTACTCAGCTTAGCTAAATCAACCAGAGCTGAAAGTCAAAACTTAGGCGGCCGTATACACAATATGACTAACTCGGTTCAATCAAAAAAAAACATTGTTAAGGAACGAATTAAAATAGTAAATTTTTGTTTGCATAATGCCGCACCAGCCGCTTCGATTTTACCTAGTATTGTAGTTGGAGGACTTGTTGCAGCTGACTCGTTTGGTGGTATTGGAGCATTATCTGTTTCTGGATTGGCTTTTCCTCCTATTACTGCTATCGTCGGTGCATGCGTTTTAGGTGGAGCTGCTACTGGATTAGCTATTCTTTTAGTAAAAAAATTTTGGCGCCGCCATCAATTGAAGGCACTCTGCTATCTTACCAAAATATTTGAAGGTTTAGTTGAATTAAGTTCAGCGAATAGACATTTCATGGGCTATATGGCCGATACGGAGGAGAAAGCAAATAAAGTTTCACAAAATATTCAAGATATTCAACTATGTTTAGAGAGTGAAAGACAACGACGAATGAATAGTGATGTCTGCAATATAGCTATAAATTCAACAACAGCAATGATAGAAAGTCTTGAACAAATATCTAAGTTAGATATATCAAAATGGTCTGACACTTCTCGTATGATCAGTTTCTCAAATCAAAATGTGACAATGGATGCTATTACAAACTAATGAACGAAATTGAAAAATCGAACAGAAGAATTATCTTTGTAATATTATTTTATTCATTTAATTAAGAAGTTTTAATTTACTTTACCAGATCGACAATCATACTCCAATTTTTTCTTAGACAATCATACTATTTTGAACAGATCAAAGCTCTTTTCTTATTATTTTTTCTTCGCAAAATATAATAACTGATATATAACCAAAAAGTTTCCGGACAACATGTTGAAAGCCAATATATATATATATCTGCAGGTGTTTGTAAAAAGATGTCATCACTGTTATGTCCTGAGATGTAAAGAGATTAGGCGTGTGTATTCGAGATCAGTTTGGACATAACTGCCCGTATCTTTTATTTACAAACGTATATATGGAAGAGACAACAAAGGCAACACGAAAGAAACTATGGAGCTATATAGATGGCATGATATAACATATTATAACTGTAATGACAAACTGGTTGAGTAGCTGACCGCTTCTCACGGTATAGATGTTTATTGACTACTCTACATGACCAGAATGTATCTCTTTCACAATAAGACACGCGCTTATATAGAGAAGAGGAAAGAGAGATATGACCCGGACATAGTATGATATAGAGGTGAGAGGATAAAGAACAGAAAGAGATGAACGATATCATTATCGTTACAATAACATCCTTCCCCGTCGAAGGAAAAAAGTAGAAAATGACTGCAAAAAAGAAAAGTATCTGACAACATGAGAGGGAAAAAAAGGAGAGAAAGAAAGACGAAATTGACCAAGAGGACTCAAGTTACTATTACAAAAAAGATGTGAAAACAAACAAGCAGAAACGAGAGAGAGAGAAAAATAGTACTGTTTGTTTTCATTACTTGAATCGGCGGTAATTTTTCATATCGAAGCAATACGATGGTAGGCTTCGTTCATAATAAATTCGATCTTCTTTGTTCTTAAGGCCGATGATCACCAAGTCATCTTAGAATTTCGTGTGTTTGAATACCACCTCATAATACTTGAGGACACGACGAACCATTCTTGAGCTAAACCGGTAATAGTATGGTCTGCTGATAAAGGTTTTGTATCTTGATAATCTCAATCGAGTGTTTCTTCTTTTGTTCTTTTTTCTTTTTTCCGGCTGCCGAACGTTGCTTCTTGTTTGTTGGTTGTGTTGGTAACTGTTGTTGAGTAGGTAGTAATCCCACCTCGTCGATAACCAAATTATGGTTATCAACTCCTCCCATTTGACTATTGATATCATTGACCGGAATATCGTCTCCAGCGATTATTTCTATTTCTTGAAAATGGTTTAATTCCGATGGTATACGTTCTCGGTGATGAGAATCTTCCATAAATCCGGGTGATGAATCATCATCCAATACTTCGTCCAGAAATGCGGCAAATGTTTCAAATGATGTATCGGTTAAAAGATCTTCCATGGATGTTGTTCGAAATTTTTCATATGTCCAGTTTCCACAGATTGGACGAATAAAATACGATACAGCTAGGTTATCATATGTCGCATAACGTAATAATGCATTTAATTTTGTTGGATTTATATTCGAGTGAATCGGATCTAACAATCTACTCCAGTTTGACCTAGTATGGGATTTATCCAGAAATAATCGACGTGTATATCTAATCGCGATTTGAATAGACCACACCTCATCCGTTCCTATATGTGGTAACCAATTGCATTGACATCGATGAAGAATGTCCATTCCATCGGAACCACAATCCTCACAAGGAGGCGGGTTCCTCTCTATCCATCCTTTGAATTTGTTCTGTACATTTATGTATTCACATGCTAAAGGGAAAGAGAACAAACGAAAAGGAAGGACTTTCTCTAGCTCTTGTGCTAGAGAGCCCCAACCATATACTTTGTTGTTGGATTTAAATAATGATTGAAATAATACACGTATTTGTTCAAATAATTGTGTATCAATGTGTGGCAAGTGGTTGAGCTCTACTACTCTGTAAAAAAAAGGCGTCATACTGAACCATATAAGGTTCTAGATTTCGGTACCATTTTCAGAACCCTCCAAGGTTCAAGCCCAATCTGGTTTTATCCAAAACTTTTTTCTATTTTCCCAAAAATGGTTCTAGTCTTCCAGAGAACAGTTCATTTTAGTTGGTCCCCAATTCAACTACTTATCCTTGTCTTTTGCGCGCCACTTCTATCCATGAGCTTATCTATAACTACCTATTTCTAATCCTAATCTCAACCTTATCCTTAACTGACTATACCTGAGCTTATTCTGCACTGCCCACTTCTGTTCTTAATTTTAACTATATCCTAAATAAAATTCACTTACGTCTATCTTAAGTTTTGCGCCACATCTTATTCTTCACTGAAAAAAAAATCCGGCGTTTAATCAACCCTCAAAAAGGGTTTATGACTGAAAAATTTGTTCATCAACCTGATCTACCCCTAGATCAACCCTTTTTTCTTCCAAAACCCACGAAGGGTTTGTTATACGTTGCAAACTGATAAACCCAAGGGTTTATTCTCTANATTCAGTTAGACTAGAAGGACCATCTTAATCTCTACTCTAGCTTTGTGTGATTCATCACAAACGCTTACAACCATTATCATGAATAACTGCAATCCACTTCTTTACTTTCTTCACAGTACTTGATTTTTCTTCGTAGTGTTTGTTTTTGTGCTTCGTCTGTAATTCGAAGCAATCGCCGAAAAAGTAGTTTCCATTTCTTCGAAAAAATACCGATGGATGAATCCGTATGAAAAGATTACTCGTTCGAAATCGTTCTATGTTTGTTCTTGCCTGTCACTCCCGGTGAAAACTATTTATTTTATTGTCTGTCAGGTATGACTCAACGTACACAACGCTTCATTCTGCTTACCGGTATGTCACCATATATAAGGAGGTGCTCAGTTGCACGTTACCTTCATATTCGATCGCCCAGTGAGTAAATTCATTCTTCTTTTACCAGAGAAACTCTCATTTAAACCTATCATTCGTATATAAACGCACACAAACATCGATATTCTTGACCCCTCGGCATTTCCCAATGGTTTATACTACTAGATACTGTTATTCAGCAGAATAATAATCAGAGGATACCTGTAATTTATGCAACCAGCGCAACCACCCACTGAATTACAAAATCTGAATTTTTTCAAGCATAAGTGGTGTACTACCACCGAGTGGTAAGGACCCAAATCAGCATCTAGATGGGTGTGCAAAGGGACTTAGTTTACTCCTCCGAAGCAGAGAAAAGTGTTCCTCTCCGTTCCAAAGATATCCCGAATTACATTAACCATCACCAGCTATCAAATTCAGCCTTCAGTTAACAGAAACACGTTCACCCAGATTTCCACCCTCGCCCACATCCTCAAGATACATTTCTTGTCTTAAACATGAAAAGGTATGAAAAGAATATAATATTTTAGTATTTTCGCCAAATTAAGATAAGTTTATTTTCATTCAAACTGAGTTTTAATTTCCATTACAGATTAAACAACCAAATATTTTAATTACCAACAAAATTCTTCATTGTATCGAATACCCAACTATAAATATAATGAATAGTAGCAATGTTGCTCCAGCCAAAGAAATCCTGAAACAGGGAGAAATGGAGTGTGAAGATGTTGATGCACATATTGAAGATGTTAATGCACATTTTGAAGACGTTAGTCAACAAGTTTTGCGGAATGATATCTGGGATGCTCTAAAAGCGGATGAAATAGCCGAAGCGTCGCTGCAAGTTTCAGCTGAAACAGTCGATTCTTTTGCTGGAGATGCACAAAGTCATCTTTTTGGACAATTCCTATCAATTGCAACCAACTTCGCTTCGTTACCATTTGCTGAAAACCTACACAGAATTCCAGAATTAGTAGAAAGTATTACGGGATTGCTAGAAGAAATGATGAAAGAAGTTCGAGAATACAGTGATATGGCAAGTGAATTTCGTGATCTTATTCAATGTTTTGTTCAAATGGTAACGGAATTAAAACATAACGTTAATATGATGCTTCCTTTGCTTACATCTGCCAAATCACAAATAGGCCTTCTTGGAGATGTTCTGAGTCATCA